AAAAATCACAAGACTTAATTTTATCAAGGATGTGTTTTTTTCCCTGTATTGAAACCTATTTAGGTTATGAGTCAAATCACATTAAGGAAAAAATTAATTTAGTGGCTATGACCCATTTAAGCTTATGTGGTATTTATTTTTGGATTTTTCTCATTAAATTTTATGCTATATCATATTTATGGTAGGGTTTGAGCCAAAATGACTTTTAAGTAACAATGATAAAGTTTAGTTACTTTTAAGTGACAAAAAATAGTTAAGTGACTTTAGTGAAATTAAAAGATAGTTGAATGACCATCAGCGAAATTAACCCGTTATTGCTAGTCTACTACTCCTTCTTTAATTCTTTCACAATGTTCCTTAATTAATATTTGGTACATATTTAATTCTACAAATGTCATTATTAAAGGCAACCCAATTTCTACTTTCTCTGTTTTCTCTTCCAATTTCTGACACTCATTAGTTCATATTGGTAATGAAAAGAGGTAAAAGATGATAAAATCTAAAAATAAATGGATTGTATTGTTGATTATTGAAGCTAGTTGGACGGTCTTCAATGGCAAAAAATGGTTGAAAGAAATTGGACGGTGATTTATTATAATTTGTAGCACTGTTTTAAAAGGCGTTTTCGGGCGAGCCCTGGGGCGAGGCGTACCAAAAACGCCCCAGGGCCATGGTGTGGGGCGAAAGTCTCAAGAGGCGTACACCCAGCAATTTGGGGCGTACGCCTGGGCGTTCAAGGCGCGGTTTTTTAGTGAGCAGTAAGCCCCAAAGACTTTTTCAAATTAAAACAAATTTGTTGAATAAGTCCTTCATATAATACCCAAATTCTCAAAAGTCAGTTTAATAATTACTCAAAAGGTTTAAAAAGGAATTCAAAAGTATTAAATTTAAAAGTCAAGATCTTTTTTTATTGATTGAAGCCCTAATTCATGGTCTTTTCCAATTTTTTATCTTGTCTGCTAGTCTGCTATTATCTCCCAAAAGCAACAAATATTTAATTTTTTTACAAATACAAAGAAAACTGCATTCTCCTTCATGGCAGCAAGTTCAAAATTCAAATTGTAGGTTAATCATCCTTTTTGTTCCTCCATATAGAAAACTTTATTCTTTTAGACTCAAATTACTTGTGCTTGTAAGTAGCGTATAATAGATTATTTTAATTAGTTTTTTTGTGGCGATGGAGAGAGCGTGCGCGCGCGCGTATTTAATTTTTAATATTTTATAAAATAATATAATGACAGTAAGTATTTATAACCTGTTTATAAATACTTACTGTCATTATATTATTTTATAAAATATTAAAAATTAAATACCTATGGGGCTTACGCATCGTGCCTCGGAACTTACGCCTCGCTAAGATATATGTAAAACACACCGCCTTACGCCCACGCCTTTTAAAACACTGATTTGTTGAAATCTGAAAATCTTTTTAATTAAAAATGGTCTAATGGTTGCTCTCTGTAAGGAGTTATGAATTGAACAAAAACGGTGAAGGATGTGAAACTGTTGAGTTTTAGGGATGTTGGAGTATTTTCGGGAAGGGGGTGGTGGTGGTTATTGTTGAATTAGTCTGGGGAAAAAAGTAAAAATCATGCAAATAACATGTGCGTGTTTACACAACTAAGATAAAGTTTGGTTGTCAGAGAAATATTAAATTTACTTAGGTAAACGATAGGGAGATACTAGGACACCCTTAAAGGTTGAGTAGGAAACTCATTTATCTGGACAAATTCGGAGAGCATCTCATGTATATCCCTTGAAAAAAAATCTTATACATAAGACATTTCTGTCTGCCATAGTATTTCAAGGAAGCGTCATGAGCTAATGTGTGGCATCATAAATTCCGCTTGCCATTTGACTTATCTATGCACAAGACTTTTATTTGTCACCCAAATATTTGGGCATACAATTCGAACCATTTTGTTGTATAAATAGAAAATAAATTTGCCATTCCGAGGACAAAAGGAAAGAGAGAGAGAGAGGGGGGGGGGGGAAAA